TAAAACTCACTAAAAAACAAAATGTTATATATTATATTATATAATACATAATATATATTTGGAAAATAACTACCAAATATTTATAAAAGTATTTAATGTTTGTACTAGCCCAACTTCTATAGTGAAAACTACTAGTTTCTGTGATATTATGAATAACTTATTGCATTTAACTTAAGCCCATGTTAATGTTGATTTTTGCATTAATAACATTTATATCATGATTTATATCATACTGAAAGCATCGTTACATGAATGAGGACATCAGCAATACTTTTGTATTATTGTAAACAACAAATAGGTGATATATGAATAGTAGCAAAAATACTCTGCATTAAATTCGGCCAGTGAATTACTCCAATGAAGTTTTCATTTTTATAAATATGTACGTATATATGTGTGTGTGTACATACATGTAGCAGTCACATTAGATAGGTAGATCAGTTGATTCATTGGTAGGAAGATGCTAGCTAAATATCTCAGTTTCAAGTTGAGCTATTTGTTCAGAGACACAATTTATCATATATGATATTGAATCAATATTGATTTATAATTATTAAATCTTTAGTTTATCGAGCACAGTCCTTCATTGCCAGTCAGTGAGAAAACTGTATACTGAGCTCACTATAAGGGAACACTATCTTCTCCCCTGCAAGTTTGTCATAATACACTTGCAAGTCATCTGTTTTTTGATTCAACAGCTATATTAAAAATATAAAAATAAAAAGTTTAAATTGAGTGAGTCACCATTAAATGTGCTCAACCTGAATAACCAAAGCTCTGTAGCATTTTATTTACATCTTCCTCTTTCCAAAAGAATCTTCCATGAGTCACAAGAGATTAGGTTGAAAGACAAGCACCTTATCTAATCAATGTATACCATCTGTTGCTTGAATCATGATCTACTCCCTATACGTGCATGAATAAGTTATATCTGGGATAAATGTGTCTACATGATTTTCTCAAATTATTTCTCAGGATTCTTCTCAGTTATCTATGCAGAGAGGCTTTTGTCATCCATATCATCAATCATTAAAAAATGTAGGAATAGTGATGACCACAGTTCAGTCCCTCTTTCTTCAGATATGTAACTCTTTACACCAGCTACCTGTCCTTCGTTCCCTCTCCGCTTCCTTCCTTTCTCTGTTGTCTCCATGGCACATTACCCAAAAGGGAAGGGTGAGTGTTGAGAGCATAATAGTCCCTGAAATAAATCAGACAGCGAAGCTTAAGTATCATATGATATTTTTATATGAGAAACTCTAAATGTAATTAATGAGCAAAATAAAAGCAGATAATAGCAAATAGGGAAACAGATCTTTTGCAAAAGGGAAAGGGATCAAGGGAGTCAGGGAGATGGGAAGGAGAGGAGACGTGCCTGCTGTATACAATGAATGTAATCATTATGTACTGCTAACGTACTATTTTAAAAAGTTGAAAAAAGAAATAAATGTTAGATTTGTATGTATATAGAAGGAAAACACCATGTTTATTAAGATTTCAAAAGGCCAATGAGGAATCTAAAACAAGGAAGTAGTAGAATGCATGGTTTTAATCTCTCTTGATAAATGACAGTACAATGTCTACACAAGTAATTAGCATATGTTTTCATCATCCTAATAAAACCATTGATATTTCACTGTAATGAATATTTGGAATTTGTATTTTAATGCCTGATTCCATTTAATTTATATAGCCCTTGAAAGTGGGACCTTTGAAAAATAGAAAATTAAATTTAAACAAAACTGAAGGTAGCTATTGTTAAAGACGCATAGTGGTAGTTGGGCTACTCTGAGCTAAAGAAGGATATCTTTTTTTAACTCATAAAATAATCCACTTGAAATTGTTCAGAAGGTTCTTTAGTAATAATATCTTACACAATTTAGACATTTGAAAACATACAATTTATTTAAAAAATCAATCAATGTAGCAATAACAACAATGGCCTATTTCTACAATTGCATTGATACTCATTTGAATTTTGTGTAAATTCTCACACTTCTATTCAATATATCCTCTTGTCTTACTTACTTTCTTGTTGCTGAGACACAGTACCCAACACCCACAGCTCTAAGGAGGAAAAGTTTATTTTCGTCTACAGTTTGTAGAGGTTTCAGCCATAGTTGACAGGCTGCAAGGCAGGGTGGCATGACAGAGTGTATGGCAGAGGAGAAACAGTTCGTGGCAGTGCAAGCAGGAAGCAGGATGCAGAAAGCAGTAAGCCTTTCTGCTTTATGTCTCTTTATACAAGCCTGTTAATTGGTCCCACCTGCACCCAAGGTAGAACTTCAATTTTTCACAACTAGAGCTATACTAAACCAATTTGTTTGTCACACACTGTTCCTGTCCACTGCTACCTCCCGTCCCCATAATGGGGATCGAACTCAGGCCTTTGTGCATGCCAGGCAGGCACAATGCTGCTGAGCTATACCCCAGGCCCTTGCCCCACACTCTTAACCACACTAGCAGACACTCTAGATCCAGCCAACTCTGACAAGCTCCACCTATGAGCATATGAGGCTTTGGGGAAACAAGCCATGGCACTTACCTTCTGGAAACTTTTTCGTTTTCAAATATATCTGATTTTCAAATTGTTCTATATAGTTTGAATTTAACATCTCTACACCATTTGTTAAAATGTACACTTTTCAGTGTTATCAGTTAGATTTTTGCAAATATGCGCGAGTTCTATAGGCAAACTCATTTTAAGCAACTCTTATGCAAGCTATTGATTGGGTTTTAGCTCTCTACACACTGATTATCTAAACAGGTACAACTCACAATGGAAATGCATAATTTCTTTGCAACTACAATCCTACTTTACATACTCTTTGAAAAGAAATCCATAATGTCTACTATTAGTTCTGTTTATTAAAATCTTACCTTGTGATGTTTCTTCAATGCAAAAATAAATTTGGACATATCAAGGTCTGACATTTTACAGACAACTGCTGTTTTTAGACCTTTCACCTAAAAATGGGCAATTTGATGTTGTAGCCATGTCTGCCTTCTGTTGGAGTGGATTTTAAAAGAAGAAAGAACTAGAATATTTTTATTTTATTTATTTTGTTTTATTTTTGTTTTTGAGACAAGGTCCTACTATGTAGTTCCAGCTACTGGCTTTGAACTCACCTGTAGCCCAGGCTATCCTTGAACTCGTAACAGTTCTCATGCCTCAGCCTTCTGAGTGCTAGATTTACAGGTGTGTGTCACTATGGCTGGCTTGTTTTGTTTTATATATGAAAGTATTAGAAGTGGTGAAATGCATGATTTTTGAACATTCCATTTTGATTTACTGCTTAGAATATATAACACAAAAGTGAAGCTGTTGCTTAGCTTCATAAAAATCTTCAGTTGACTCTTAGATACAGAGTTGTGCATGTTTTTGAGAACCATACAGAAGTTGGTCTAAAGTCTTTCATATAACCTGAATATTGGTAGTAATGAAAAAAGGAATACTCTGTGAATTATATTTTAAAGTCTATGTATATAGGTGTGCAGTTTTTAAAATAATTGGACTTTCTCCCCATTATAAAACTACAGTGTCTTTACAGTTTTTAAAGTTAGAATTTTCAGTCTATTTATTTTAATTTTCTTTTTCAGGAAATGTATGCAAGAAGAATTTTGAGAGTTTATACCACTCCTTTCTGCTCTGATTAAACAAGACACTGCTGTATTTTGTAAGTTCAACAATTTTTTTTATCTTCGATAAAGAAGACTTTCTTCTTTAGCAAACCACTGTTTTAAAGTTTAGATTTAAGTTAAAGTTTATTCAAATGGAAAACTTAATCAATTTTATTTTTTTCCAAACTTTATTTTACCTCAGTTTTACTCAATTTAGGTAAATGGTGAAAAGCATTTCTTTATTAGAGTAATTGTTTCCCTTTTTCTATTATCCAATACTTTAATGACTTGTGATAAGACCCTTATCAGTTGGTAAGCTAGTTTACAGAGGCTGTGCTGTTAGCAGTACTGATTCGGCCTGGACATACATCTTGGTAATTATAATATTCTCTGTTTCAGGGAACATATACATTCAATTTTATCTGTAGAAACTGCCCTATGTGGCTTCATGAAGACAACTAAATACTGTGTCTGTAGCAAACCATAAATTCATTTTGTTATTAATATTTAGACTTTACATTAAGGGATTATGATATTCCTCATAGATATGCACTTCATGTCTTTGAAGAACTGGAATCTTGGCCCTCATTTATTTTACATAACACAAAGCAAACAAACAATAGGTATTATGTGAGACGTGAATGATACGAAATTGAATGTTTGTTCAACCTTCAAATTTACAACCTTTTGATTGTCTCAAACTCAAATTAGACTATTTATAATTTCTGAAATACAGTATGAAATAGATTTTCTTTTACAAGCTTCCTCTGACATTGAAATAAAATAATCCTTTTGCCCCTAATTAGCTTTCTATGATAGATCCAGTAGATTGAGAGGATGTAATGCATGTTATTTATTTTGATATTTACAACAATTTTTTTGGCTTTTCATCCATGCAACCTTTTTTTTCACTAAACAAGAGAAAATAACTATGCTATGTTGCCTCTTAAAAAGTGGATGGGCAAATCAACTAGATGAAAAATATATCTACAGTTCTGAATTTGGTGCCAATGCAGTCACTCCAAGTGCTCTTCAAAAGGGTACTTTTATACCTTAGTATTTTAAAAGAACTAATTTGGAGTGTGTTTACTTCAGGAGAATACTTAAAGGTCAGAACAGATTTTGGAAATTGACAAGTAATATGGAAGGTATAAATCGTTTCAAAAAGATTTTGAAGTTGGAGGAGAATAATATACAGTAAAGAAGGGAAATTATATAAATATCTACATTGTAAATTTAAACTGTAGCTCAGAGGTTCCATTTCTTTTAAACCCTCTTCACATAAATTATTATTTATTTTCAGGAAAATTCTGAATTAAATAAAAATTTGATGCTTTGTTTTCATTAAATAATGCTTTTCTACATATGCATCTGTTGCTTAAATTCCAAAACAGTTTGAAATTATCAAATAGAAATTATATTAAAATGACTTTTTACAATTTGATACTAAGAATAATGTGTTGAATGTTTACAATGAATGAAACCCTATAGATAAAATATGACAAAGGAATTTAGTTGGATTTGAGTTGTGCAGTTTTATCAGTGGCAAATCCACACTTCTCCATTAGAATTTCTCCAAAATCTTTTGTGTCTTTATTGTATTTACTGCCAAAAGCTCTAAGAAACCCATGCTGGGAACCATGGAGGTGTTGCTAGAGCTTAGTTTAGTAAAATCCAAGAAAGGTTTTAAGAGGAAAGAAAATATATTTTTGGTTTTAGTCATGTTCTTCCTAGTCATGTTCTGAGCAAAATCTGGACAGCTATGGAATAATTTGCAATACATGAAATAGAATGAAAAAGATATAAGAAGAAATACTATTTTGATTAAATTTCTCAGTCATAGTGTCTTTAATAAAAAAGTTAAGGAAATAAGATCATTGCATTTGAAAAAGGCAAAAATGTCAATAAAGTAAATCACATACACAAGCTTAAATATCCTGTGGCTTCTCTTGTACGATAAACCCAAATTATAAAGAGCAAAATAAAGGGTAGATAATAGGAAGTAGAGATAGATCTTTCTCAAATGCAAAGAGAATCAAGACTCAGAGGGAGGAAAAAGCGGAAGGAGGGAGAATGGGGGCGAGAATAGAGATGTGTTAAGTGCACGTTCCAGCTCCACACGATGACTGCAGACATTATGTAGTCCACAGAAACACAGACTAATGACAAAAGAATCTATGACACGAATCAAAAGAACAGATAGTGAGATATTATTCTTCATGGTTCTTGAACATTAATGTTGTTGGCATATTTAAGGTATACAATATAATGACATCCAATGTTGGAAATTTGTATCTTTCCATAATCAATCTTTGTTCTTGTTTTTTTTCCCCATCCCCCTGCCCTCCCTTCTGACCCTTCCTCCCTCCGTGTCTAAATACCAAATAGTTTCTCTAGAATGAGAAAGTGAAAGTGTAAATAAGAACTAAAAGGTGTAATAGTCAATGTTTTGTTTCTGTTTTTTTTTTTTTTGGTACTGGGGATCGAACTTGAGACCTTCCACTTGCAAGGCAGGCGGCAGCACCACTAAGCTAAATCCGCAGCCCTATTCTTCATGCCATGATAAGATTTTATAGAAAAAAAATGACTTTATTTTATAATGACTTAAAACTTAAATAAACAAAATATAATAAATATGAACCATTATTAGTGTGGATTTCTAAGCTCTAAGAAGTTTTAAAGCACTAGAATAACTGAAGATAAAACTATATATCCCTTAGTTTGAAAAAGCTTTATAGCAAAAACAGATCTTCTTGAAGTGAGAGGATATTAAGGGGGATAAAGTACTAATTAATTAAACATAAATACTAAAACCTAAGATACATGATCATGAATCTGTTACTGCTTTAAATTCTGTGATTAGCATCGTCACTTCAATCAACATTGGTTTTGCTTTTCTGAAATCATATAAAGGAGGAAGTAACTCATTTGGCAAAACATCCCTTAGTGAGCTATGGTCCCAGGTGTTTAACTGTCCAGTCCCTAAAAGGGAATTAGTATGGTTGTTTTCTGAAGATTTAAAGGATGATCAAAGTAGACCCCCTGCTTTTAGAATGAGAAATACTCTGAAAGCTGGACTGATTTCAGCTGGTTAGAATTCATCTAAATAAATGTTTTAATAAGTACTTAAAAATTCACACCGATTTTCTTGCTGTTCATTATCGATATTCCTTTAAGAGAAGCTTACACCTCACAAAGCAATAGCTTCTAAAAGTGACATTTTTTCTGATATTTTAGATAATTAATGGATTTAGCATAGAAACACCTGTATCATTTTAGTTTATCATAATTATTTTTCAGATTTTCTTTTTCTACAAACATTGTAGAGATTAAATTATTATATTTTTCTAAGTTGTTTTTTAATTTAAGAAATTGAATCAAATGAGTAGGCTAAGAACTCTGGGGCATGGAAGGAAAATGTAAAGCATGACTGCTGATTCTAAATTTCTACAGTCTAATTGTGGAGCAAAATCATTTATATGAAAATTACATATAAAATTACAGTCAGAAAAAATATAAACTATATTGTAACTCCCTGACATGCACAGTATCTTGTCTTAAGTCTATGCTATGATATATATGTATATGTATGTATGTATATGTATATATATATATATATTCAAACATATATAGAAAAATAATGAATGAAGCACTGTAGATATTCACAGAACAAATGTAATATAGGTACAACTTAGATGGATTCTGAAAGACAATCGTTATTCTAGATGGGGTAAAGTAAGAATGACAAGTTTGACTTAGGGACTTTTTATGTGATGATACATGCCAGATTTGAAGGTATTGGGGAGAATTTTATGAAATGAAGAAGAGGATGTAAAGCTAGGTAGATCAGTTTGATCTAAAACAAAAAAGTCTTAATGTCATAGTTGGAAAGACTGTGCTTTACTTCGACGGGAAGAGTCAGAAGACACAGTTCAGTGACATTCAGGGACTTGCTTTCTTATCAATGTCTGAATAAACAATATAGGGGAAAAGTGAAAAAAAAAAAGACCTGCCAAATTTCAGACTCTAAAAACTTGAAAAATGTCTGATGAATGGGAGTGAAATTTAAGAGGATGGAAAGGGAAGCAGGGACAGGATATATGAGTGATGGAGACTGAGATCTTCCAATTTTTGAAACATCTTGAACTTAAACACTTTCTAAGTTTCCTCATATTGATTTATCTCAAATCCGTATTCTTGTTTTTAACCTTGTTGACATTTTAATGATGAAACAAAAGGCTAATTTGTATTCATTTTCAGTCCATACTGTGACTGTACCTCTAATTTAGTTCAAAGTGAACTTTTAAGTGGATTCCCAAAACTTAAGAGTTTTGAGATATTGACAGCAATATAATCTCACTTTGTAACAGTCCTTCCTGTTGGTTGTGGTATTCAGGAACACATTTGCTTCATTAAAGACATCAAATTGTCTGTTTTATATTCATGAACATTTTGTAGCAAGAAAATGGATATGTTTCTTCATTTCTTTTGAAAATATTCTTTTTATTTTCTCAATAAATTTGCTTTTCATCAGAAAAAGTAGCCATGAAGCGATGGACCAATGCCATTAGTTAGCTTGCTCATTTACTTATGTTACCTGTTGACCACTGTGGAGAATGAAGACGATGATGATGATAAAGATGAAGGGGTACTTACCCTGCATTTTAAGCATTTATGTAGTTAGGTAAGCAATGATTACAAGATTATATTTAGGACATACGACAGTAAGTAGGGCAGATGGAATAGGTATCTACTGAAAAAAATTGACATAAAGAATGAAAAAATTCTAATCTCTAAATGTTACTGAAGGATAATTTTGGATAAAATATTTGTTAGTAACGATTATGAAGAATTGTAAAATTTTTCATGTAAACACTTTGGGACTCTAGAAATTAGTTGTAGTCAATTAAAGAACAATGATATCACCAATAGAAACTATCACTCTCAATCTAATCAAAGTTTGGATCTATTTTATCATCATATTTTTACCATATACCACTATACATGTTTAACTTTATCCTATGTTATCAAATTTAAAAAATCATTTGTGGTGGTT